CTGGACCAATCGGCAGCATCAGGATGGATGGTGAAGAGATTGAGATTGTACACAGCTTTAGTTTGCTTGGCTCCATAGTCAACAGTCTTGGCACCACACAATACACCACACATACACACAATATTTGCTTAGCCTTGAATTTATGCAGACTGTACTAGGTTGAAAGGATGCAAAAATGAGTAAATGCTCTTCTTAATCACCAGTAAAGTTCTATAAAAGAGGGAGAGCTGTGTTAAGGACCCAAGAAAATGTAAGTAGGTAGCTAGAGAAGGAGTCCTCATTGCTACATAGCATTTTTAAAGGGAGAGACTCAGGAATAGATTTGCAGAAAATGACAAAAGTTTTCTTTCATTAATATGGAGTATCTGTCCATCACAGAGAAATGCATAGTATTCTATTTATTCAGATGAGGCCTTATTTCCTGTAATTATTTCGTAAATGTTTGTATGCCTGCGGACTTGGCTATATTAATTATTGTGTGGGATTTCATTTTAGTTTGTATATTCACCACCAGCAGCTTCATCTAAGCTTTGCTTTCCATTACCAAGTAATTAAAATTAATATGCAAAATATGAAATGACACAAAAGCATAATTATTTTAAATTTCTTTTGATTGTCAAATATGAATGACAACCAAGTCTGGTTATTAATTGTGAATATTCTCTTAACTTTCAGATGAAAGAGAAGATGTTCAAAAGAAAACATTCACAAAATGGATAAATGCACAATTTTCTAAGGTAAGGACATTTTGTTCCTGTCTTTTAAGATGTGACATCAATTACTCAAGTCTTTCACAAGAATTACAAACCTGTGCAATTTAAATTCCATATTGTCTGTTGCATGTGGTAATTTTTTCCCACTCAAATCTGGAAAGGCTATTTTGACTTTTAATAAAGGAAGAAACAGTAGAATATAGTACAAAGAAAATATTTGATTTTTAAAAATCGTCTTTAGTTCTTGACAATGTGAATTTCTTGAACAGCATGGATTAGCAGAAGCTTAAAACTGCATTCAATCATCAAGTATATTACACATTAGAAGATATAAGTGATGCTCATTTTTAGAAAAATCGTTTTCCTTTCTCTTGGTCTTTACCATATTCAGGTTTACTTTTTACCAGTGTGTTAAAACCTAAATAATAGCAAGATTATAATTCTTACCATTTTTAGAAGCATAATTCAATGCCTGTTCATATTTAATGGCAAGAAAAGCTAGTATATTATGCAACTATAAAAATATACATATTATTCATTTCATATGATTACTATAAAATCATATTAAAACCATATCATTAAAAGTTAGTTTGGTTGTAAAATAAGAATTGTATTAAAATTGTAAATATTATAAGGAAACGTAACTAGAGAACTCCTTAGAGAATAAGATGGTGACATCGACTCCCATACTCTGTCCATGTTGGCAGAAGGAACCGGTCCCTGGGAAAAAGAGCTTTATGCTTAGAAGAGTGGAGGGTAGTGGGTAAAGGAAAGAAAGACCTTCAGTGAAATGGATTGATAACATTGGAAGTAACAGGTTTAAGCAAAACAGAGACTGTGAGGATGGTGTGGAATTGGGCAAGGTTTCATTCTGGGTGTGTGTGTGTGTGTGTGTGTAGTTACTATGAGTCAGAGCTGACTTGATGGTACCTCATAGCAACTGTGTATTAGTGTATAAAGATACACACACTCTTACATATGTACATGTGTATACACAGTTGTTTTATGTGTATTTGGGGTTTGCCTTTGGGTTGGTTTTTTTTTCTTAGATAGAATATCTGTGCTTGGAAATAATTATTCTAGGTTTGGACAAGTCATTTAAATGCATTGAGAGTCGGTTTTCTCATCTTTGTGATTAGATAAAAAGCCTCCCTATTTAATACAATCAAATTCAGATAGTTGGAATGTAAAGTTATGAAGACATGGTCTTTATATTTAAGGTTCTAAAAGTGGTCAAATGGTATCTTTCATGCTATTGTGAGAATAAAATGAATCCTTATATATGGAAATTCCTAATAAAATGTTTGATCCCTGCTCTAATCATCACATATATAAATTACTTCTTTTATGGGTCTGTCTCATTTTGTAAAAATCTCAGAAATGGACAAAACAATCCCCTGAAACATATAATTTTAAAAAATCTTGCCTTTAATTTATAGAATGTTTTAGATGTTAATCACTGTTTGATGTTTGATAACCTCATTTTGCCAGGTACTTTTCAGTTTATTGGCCAAAATATATTACTGATTTTTAGCTAATAAAATTCCTCTCAAACTTATTTGTCAAGTTAATAATGAATAAGTTCTTATCAGAGAACTTTAAAACAATAAAAATAGCGCACACTCTCACGCTCTCTCTCTCCCCCCTCCCTTCTCTCTCATTGTCCTCAAGTCAGACTGACTCATAGCTGACACATCAATAGATTTCCAAAGTTGTAAATCACTTGAGAGGATATTGCTGGTCTTTTTCAAGTGAAGCTGCTGGTGGGTTCGAACCAACAGAGAGTAGCGGTCTTTGAGTTAGCGGCACTACTCCCAGTGGGCTAGGCCACAAAATCTAATTTTTTTTTTACCTCAAATTGTTGTGAACTAGGTGGAATATACATATTTTAAAAGAATAGCTAAAATGTGAAAGAATAAATGAAAAATGAATGTGGAAGTACATAAAATAGCAATTCACAATTTCTAAAACAGCTAAAAGTTGATATTTATGGTTCAATTACTGTATGCACTTACCTATTTCAATTTCTGTGTTTTGAAATTTTAAAATGGGCAATGACATGTGAATTTTCAAATGAGCAGCATAGTCATCAAGCTTGTAAAGATTTTTGAAAGAATAAAAGTAGCAGAATGTTCCAAATCTTTCTATTAAACCAATCATTTTAATATGCTATTACAAACTCCACAAAGAGTAATTGTCCATTTTCTTACTCTATTTGTAAATAGATCTCTATGCATACATCAGTATATTAAAATAAGTATTTATTACAAAAGCTATAAACTGTGGTTTGATATCTTATATTCAAATAATATATTGATAGTGCTTTAGTGGAATTAGGCATTATTCACTGCCCAAAATTGTCCCTTTAGTTTATATGGAAAAATTAAATGTATGAGAAATTGACTATTTTTTTCTCAGATAGTCCTCCAAACACTCAAACTCCCAATTACTTAGTTTCTTTTCTAAATATTTCTCCAAGCTTTTTATAATTAGGTCAGGAGAATCACCATTATTTCAAATATAATACACTCATAATTGGACATACTTTGGGCTTCAGAATATAAAGAAATATTTATAAAGACAGAGGAGGGAAAAAAACCCATTTAAAGGTAAATCTAAAGACATAATTTTGCATGGCCATACATAAGGACATAAATATATTTATGTAAATGTATTAATTTTAAGAATCTGGAAATGATATTCATATTATCTTTTCTCTTTGTCAGGCCTTCTGGCATGCCACTAAGTTTTATTCAGCGTACTTCTTTAAGCACACGCTGAACTTTTGAAAAGAATGGAAATTAATAGAAAGTTAATTCAAGTCACTTGGTGATGCCAAAAGATAACCATAACTTTTAAAAAAAACAACCATTTGATCAATACTGATTGCACTGCGACTTGGCTCTCATTAGAATTCTAAGCATGAAAGAGATACTGGACTAGCATACATTGAATCCTCTGTTATCATGAAGACCACATGGGCATTTGAGAGATGTTGCTCGATAGTCGCTAAATGGTGCAGAACTGAACGGACTGTGGGTGGCCAGAGACAACCATATTTGGAGCTAAAGTTAGAGTGAATCAGGGAGTCTTTATGAAGAGAGTCTTATTAACTGCTTCTATCAACTGATCTTTGGAGGAAGGAGCAGCAATGAGCAAGATTCAGCAGACAAAGAAAATGGGAATACATATTGGAAGCTGGAGTGTGACTTTATTTTTTTTATTTTTTAAGTCCAATGTTCTTTATCAGTGCACTTAAAAATGTAACAAATAGGTTTGGGTTAACAGTACGATTCATGAAACAGTTTGTAGGTAGGTAAATAAGAGGAAATCGGAAGAGAGTAGAAGATGTTGAGGACAACTTAGAAAAGAGAAAAAATCAACAAAATTGTATTATCTAAATGATAAATTAGACACACATACTATACTGTTACACACTAAACTTTCAACTCCTCATACTAATTTCTATCACACAAATGCACAATCTGTGAATCCTACAGATAACGAAAAAAGAGTTCCTTTTCAGTTTGTCTCCGTCACGCAAAATGAAAAATAGAGAAATATTTTGAGGAAATTCAGGTGATAATAAAGTCTAGAGAGCAAACCATTCTATCCTGGAGAGGATCAAATGAGGTTGCTCCTTTGAGGCGAGGATTTTGAAATATACATATGTTGGGCATTTTGTCAGGAGGGACCAGTCTTTGGAGAGGGACATCATGGTTGGAAGGGTGGAGGGACAGTGCAGGAGAGGAAGACCCTGCATGAGATGGTTTGATTCAGTGACTGGAGCAATGAGGGTAGGTGTGTCAGACAGTGAGGTTGGCTCAAGATAGGGCAAGTTTCAGAGCCCATTGTTCATAAAATTGCTATGAGTTGCAGTCAACTCAACTGCACATGAGAACAACAAATACATCCTTACTATTTTTGGTGTGATTTTAAGCCAAATGTGGCCTTTTTCTGTAAGCTGAACTGCTCTTTTCTAAGAAAGATTTTTAAAGTCCTGTCTCTTGTTCAAAATAAGTCTATTAACTTTTGATTCTAAAAGTTATTTTAGCACATGATTTATTACATTTCATAAAGGAGCTATAAGTACAAAGCCAGTGTTAGTGGAGTTTAATCCCAGGTAAAGTTTCTATCCCTGTAATTTGTATGTATTTGGTGATCCTACAGTTGTTTAATGTTCATTACAGGACCAATTAAATTCACATTATAGCAATGATCTTTATTCTCATAGGTGTATTCATACTGACTTATAGTGAAGCATTATTTTTGGTATAATGTTTGCTACTTGAGTTAAAGAAATAAAAATCTGTAGAAAAAATATATATTAATCAATTGCAAGATTCAAGCCGTTACTCAATGAGCTATGTAAAGATTTTGAGCCTTCACTTGATTTAGTGGCAATGACTATATTTGTACTCATTAACTTCACTCCTCTGAATGATTCTTATAAAAGCAGTGTGAAAAAAAAGTAGTGTGCAGATTTTTTTAACTTGAAAAATAAGGTAATAGTTGTTAATGTGCCATCTAGTCAACTGTGACTCACATAGCTTCTATAAATGTCTCTACTTTTCCCTATTCTGTTCCATCTGCACCATCTTTGACATGGTCTAGTCCACTGCTATAGACGCTGTGTCAGGCCATCTTTCTCTGACCCTTTACCTTTCCCAGCTTGTCATCTTCCAAAGACTGGCCCCTCCTGACAACATGCCCGAAGTATGTGAGACAAAGTTTTACCATTTTCCCCCCCTTGTGGCACTTCCTTTAAGATAAACAAGATAAAGTAGACATGTATAATTAATTTTCCTTACGACTGTCTCAAGAGCTCATGTGATTATACAACAGTATATTGGAGTCTTCAGTGCCAAATGTGTATGTTCATACCCAGTAAGACAGAACTCCTTATAAGACAGACTTTATTGATATGATACCGCTTTCACAAATCAATTTGATATTTTACCTATTAGCCTACATGATGAGCATGATATTGTTGTTGACTGTTGTTGACAAGTCAAGCACAACTC